CCCCCCCTGCCTCCCGGATCCCCCCAGCCCTGGGATGCAGGAGATCCCCCCTGGCTCCAGGATCCCCCCTGCCCTGAGATGCAGGAGATCCCCTTGGCCCTGGGATGCAGGAGATCCCCCCTGGCTCCAGGATCCCCCCTGCCCTGAGATGCAGGAGATCCCCTTGGCCCTGGGATGCAGGAGATCCCCCCTGGCTCCAGGATCCCCCCTGCCCTGAGATGCAGGAGATCCCCTTGGCCCTGGGATGCCCCTGCCTCCAGGATGCTGGAGATCCCCCCCAGCCCCAGGATCCTGGAGATCCCCTTGGCCCCAGGATCCTGGAGATCCCCCTGGCCCTGGGATCCCCCCTGGCCCCGGGATGCTGGCGATCCCCCCCGAGCTGGGGTTTGGGGGAGCCCCCCAGCTGGGGGAACGCGGGGCCACCCCTCGTCCCCGCCGTCCCTGCAGGGCAGCGCCGTCTTTGACTTCTCGGGCTCGGGGCCGGAGGTGTACGGGAACTGCAACGCCCCCCGCGCCATCACCCTTTCCGCCCTCATCTACTGCCTGCGCTGCATGGTGGGCCAGGACATCCCCCTCAACCAGGTGGGCGCGGGACCCCCAGGGCTGCAGGTCCCCTGGGCTGTGAGACCCCTAGGTTGTGGGACCCCTGGGCTGTGAGACCCCCCAGGCTACGGGACCCCCGGCTGCAGGACCCCCGGGCGGCAGGACCCCCAGCTGTGGGACCCCTGGGCTGTGGGACCCCCGGGTTGTGGGACCCCCGGGCTGCAGGATCACTGGTCTGTGGGACCCCTGCATTGTGGGACCCCCCAGCTGCAGGAGCCCTGGTCTGTGGGACCCCGAGGGCTGCAGGATCACTGGTCTGTGGGACCCCCCGGCTGTGGGACCCCCTGCACTGTGGGAGCCCCTGGCTGCAGGACCTCCTGGCTGTGGAACCCCTGGGCTGTGGGACCCCCGGTCGGTGGGACCCCCCGGCTGTGGGACCCCCTGGCTGTGGGACCCCTGGGCTCTGGGACCCCTGGGCTGTGGGACCCCCGGGCTGTGGGACCCCCAGGCTGTGGGACCCCCCTGCGCCCCCTCACCTGGCGGGGGGAGCTGCCAGCCCAGTGCTGGCCCCGGGGGGCAAGGGGTTATGGGGCAGGGACCCCCATCCCCTGGGGTGGGGGGGGTCCCGGGCCCCTGTTCCCCTGGCGTGGGGGTCCTGGGGAGCAGAGGGGTGTGGGGTGGATGCGTGCGGGGCCGACGGGCCGCCTGCCTCCCAGGGCTGCCTGGCCCCCGTGCGGGTGGTCATCCCCAAGGGCTCCATCCTGGACCCCTCGCCCGAGGCCGCCGTGGTGGGGGGCAACGTCCTGACCTCCCAGCGGGTGGTGGACGTCATCTTCAGGGCCTTCGGCGTCTGCGCCGCCTCCCAGGTAGGGACCAGGGTGATGGGGGGTCCTGGGGTGCCGGGGGTCGCGGGGGTCTGGGGTGCCGGCATTCCAGGGGTCGGGGGTCCCGGGGGTCAAGGGTCCCAGGGGTCTGGTGTCCCACAGTGCCAGGGGTTCTGGGGTTAGGGCTCCTGGGGGGCCTGGGGTCCCAGGGGTCCGGGGTCTTGGGAGCCAGGAGTCCCGGGGTGCCAGGGGTCCTGGGATTTGGAGGTCCTGGGGGTTGCAGGTCCCAGGGGTCCTGGGGGTCGGGGGTCTGGGGTGCTGACATTCCAGGGGTTGGGGGTCCAGGGGGGTCAGGGGTCCCAGGGGGCT